TTGCACCACAGAAGAAAGATTTATGTAGGTATTCAGTTAGACGTGTGCAAACAACATGCATTCAAAGTGCGCTCAATTGAACTCAGTCTTGGTGGTTTGCGTTAATCAGGTGGTGGTGGCCTGGGATGGTATCGAAATTCCCGGCCTGGATTATTGTCCCAGTCCGCCCCTGGCATGAGCGCTTGTGGCATGGGCAGCTTGCATTTCTAAACTTGAGAAACTGATCTCCTCTGTCCCCACACGTCTGTTGAGTGTTGTAAGAAGAAGGGGGGATGCCACACAGTGATAAAAATGGACTTGTCCTAACTTTTTTGGGATTTGTTGACGCCATGAAATTTGGAAACAACAGATTTTTCCCTTAAAATGATACATTCTTTCAGTTTAAACTTTTGATCTGTGATTTGTGCTCTATTCTGAATAAAATAGTAGATGTTGGCACCTCCACATCATTGCATTCAGTTTTTATTCACAATTTGTTTAGTGTCCCAACTTTTTTGGAATCCGGTTTGTATACTGGTGAGGGTCCTCGTTGATGTTGATGGCTGTTTTCATGCGAGTCATGACCAGTTTTTCAAAGCATTTAGTGACTATCGGGGTGAGGGCCACTGGCGGATAGTCATTCAGACCAGACACTTTAGAGCTTTTTGTGACTGGGATGATTGTGGCAGTCTTCAGGCAGGTGTGAACTGTCTCAATGGTAAGTGAGGAGTTAAAGATGTCTGCCAGCACCTCGCAGAGCTGATCGGCAAGAAAGAACAGTTTCTTTACAAAATCCTAATGATGGTTTATTTATTTTTCAGGGTTGCTGAGTTAAAATTTAGAGGCGCTTGAGAACCCCCAAAAAGAGGCTAAAATCACCACTGAAGCCAGTTCATATTTATAATTTTACTTTTAATCACTTTCTGTGGTGCAGGATCATTTCTCACAGACTAGTTGTTTAGTTAGTATATCCCACTACCAGGGTCAGCTGCGCCTCCTCCTGCTCCTCCCTGCTCTGTGCACCTTGCTCCATGTCTCATAGCAGTCCTGTGTCAGTTAGCCACTCACAAACTCGGATAAAGAACTGGACTGAACTTGGTCAAAGGAGGTCCGAGCAGGTCAGAGATGGAGGTGTGTAAAGAAGCTCAGTTTGAGGAGCAGATCAGATTCATCTGAGAATGTATGACTGTCTGGGAATTCATCTTGTCGGGCAGGTGTCCACCCTGGGACAGCAAGCACTGCTCTGAGTTTTTGGCCACACTGAAAAAAACTGCCTAATATTTAGCTTGTTGTCACTGACTTAGAAAAGAGTTGCTCTCAATCCTCTTGCTCACTTCAGAAAAATGTCCTGGTCGCTCCGACATCGCTTCAAATACTCTGACTGCAGACAAAGAGCTTCATGAGCTGAGATCATCGTCTCTTTATGCAGTTCAGATAACTGCTGCAGTGATTCACATCACATTGTTCTCAAAAGCTCAGGAACTTATGTGTAGCGCTAAACTTTAATTATATTTTTGTTTTTTAATTAAATTGCCCATGACTGTGAACTTTTGGGGCGGAGATTTTTTTAAGAGTAGAAGCAGAAATGTGAAGAAACAGCTCTGATGTGATATTAGGAAGCTTGTTATGTTTAAAAGCATAGTTTTATTTAGTTATAGTTTTACTGTCACTCTTTGTCAGGCAGGTTGAAAAACATGCAGTGTAATCCTTCAAATGCACAGACACACCTGTCTGCTCCAGAACACGCAGCTGAATGGACTGTACTTATACAGCTGCTTTCTTTCTTATCAAGACACTCAAAGCTCTTTACAACAACCTGTGCCTCATTTACCCATTCATACAGCATTCTACTAGATCTATACAAAGATTAATCAGAGCTTTATCACATTCATACACTGATGGGACACACATCAGAGGCAATGAGGGGTTCAGTGTCTTGCCCAGGGACACTTCGGCATGTGACTGCTGGTGGTATCGAACCCCCAACTCTTTCATTGGAGGACGACTGCTCTAACCACTTAGAACAGTTGTCCTCCAATGAAAGAGTTGGGGGTTCGATACCACCAGCAGTCACATGCTGAAGTGTCCCTGGGCAAGACACTGAACCTCTCGTAGCCTCTGATGTGTGTCCCATCAGTGTATGAATGTGATAAAGCACTGATTAGTATCTTTAGAATGATTTGTTCAATTAGCTTAGTAGAGATCTAGTAGAGTGCTGTATGAATGGGTAAATGAGGACGCAGATTGTAGTGTAAAGCGCTTTGAGTATCTTGATCGGATAGAAAGGCGCTATATAAAAGCACAGTCCATTTAACCACTCAGCCACAGATGCCCCCGATCTAAAACGACTGCAAAGTAGATTGGTTATACTTTGCAGTCGTTCTGCAAACACAGATTGGTTCATTGATTTTGAACTGATCTGTGCATGTGCGCCTAACAGAAACTGAAACGAACCACTTATGTCTGTTGACCTGCGTCAAAAGTGAGTCATTGACAGATGTGGTGGAGAGAATCCGGTGATTTTTCAAAATAAAACTTTTTTCTTTTTTTTTTTTCTGTACAACATAGTACTAATTAACTCCCGGAGCAGTACCAGTCTGTGGCCTGGTGGTTAGGGACCACTGTTTTAGATGCTTTATTTGATTCTCATCATACGTTATGTTCACCTGCACTTTTATCATAAAAAACTGTCAGGAAGTAGTATTTGAATGTTCATTTACAACTGAATTCAAGATGTCTGCCACAGCCAACTGACCTTAAAACCCCACAAAGTGGCTATAACTTAACTACTTTACACATATTGATGTAAAACGTTGTGTGGTAGTAGCTGAGACTGATCCCAAACACATATTCAGAGCACTAATGTGTTGCACAAGATCTTTGTTAAAATTTTAGTAGTTACCTAAAATCACATCAGGCTGAGTGTTAGTAAAATATCTCGTAAATTATTGGGTGTGTTTTATGAAACTTAAGAGAACTAAAACTGGATATGGATCTACAACTGATTAACTTCTGAAATCAATCCATCATGAAATATCTTCCACAGCTGAATGACATTTAACAAAAATGACTGCTGTCCTGGAATATGATGTGGTAGTAGCTGAGAGTGATCAACAACACAAGGTCTGAAGGTGACATCTATCATGAGTTTGTTTAATGAATTTTTTAATGACCTTTCAAAATATATTGTTTAAGGAAGATAAAGTCGTTGTTTGTAATATTTTGTTAGATGTGTGTGTGTGTGTGTCCTTGTTTATGCTACTTTGTGAGGCCCATTTTTCCAACTTATACTACATTGTGGGGACCAACTGCTCCTTATGGGGCCCAAAGCCCGGGCCCCATAAGAAGAAGTCCCGTTGGTGGGTTAGGGGCTAGGTTTAGGACTAAGGTGTGAATTTAGGATGTGTTAGGTTTAGGGTTAGGTATGTACTGGTAATGGTTAGGTTATGGATAAAGGTCATGGTTAGGCTATAGAAATGAATGGAAGTCAATGCAAAGGCCCCACAAAGATAGCAAAACAAACCTGTGTGTGTGTGTGTGTGTGTGTGTGTGTGTGTGTGTGTTAAGCGTGTGAAGCGAGCAGCTGCAGTGATCAGGAAACATCAGTAATTTATTGGTCTGCAGAGCGCTGACCCGTCCAGCTCCATATGGTGTCAGCCTGTCACTGTACACACCAAGCAGACCTCTCTGTTTCACTTACACGCACACACACACACACACACCACACACAGCTCTGTGGTTGCATTGTTCTGATAAAGACAAGGAAACCTCACCCACAGAGTATTTGTTGCTCTCAGGTCAGTGATTTTTGTGTCATCTTCATCACATCTCCACTCTGAGGAGGAGGAGGATGGGGGGTGGGGGGCAGAGATGGGACAGTGGATGGAGGACAACACATCCAAAAATGAAGACTTTATTCGTGTAAGACTTCAGCCGTGTGAGAGTTAGCCTTTATTTTTACAACAAATATTGTTTTAACCATTTAAATATGACTATTTTAGTCAACTAAATGAACAAATGACTAAAATATAAAATGTGAAGTTCATAAATAAGAAGTATCTGTACTCCAGTGATATGTTACACTCTATCAAAATATTTAGGTACATGTATACCTTCTAGAAAGACGATGACGCTGGGAGTTGTGAGTCCACAGCTCAAACCACTGCTCCACCGTTTGATCTTTGATGTTGAGGAGAATGAAGTCAGAGGATCAGTAGAATTCAAGATATAACATAGTAAAAACACAAAGAGCAACAAAAGCAAGTTTTATCCTGGCGTTTCAAAAGAAAGCGCATACATACTTTTCAAAATAAGAGTCTGTTTCTGTTGTAACTCAGATTGTTACACAAATAAGATAAATTCCTGTTGGACTTCAGAGACAAGTAGCTGGATGTTGGTGTTGAGGCAGGATCTGTCGGTTTAACTCTTCAGTTGATGAGTTTTTCTCACTAATCGTTCCCCAAAACAGGACGCAGCACTCACAAATGGGTTTGTCTGTGTACACGGTCCTGAAGTCTGGAATCTGTATTTAGAGTTTTGTGGGTTTTGAAGTCAGGTCTTGGGGACAGCAGCTTGTTGAGATGAGGTAACGTGACTGATCAGTGTTTTCATCAGATTCAAACAGCAGGCAGGACTTCCTGATGACTGACATTCATTCAACCTTTATTTAGACAGGTAAATCCCATTGAGCCTCGAGGACTCATTTACAAGAGAGACCTGATTTCAACAAGGAATGATGACAACAATGGACAACAGCGACAACAATAGACAGTTATAAAAAGTCATACAGATTTTTTATTTTTTTTAACAAATAGGATGGCAAAAAAAAAGAAAAGTAACAAAAAACAGCTACAGTAGATTATAATGCGAATGTAGAAAACTAAAAACAGGAGCATGTCTGTATTGGTCCTTGCCAGGAGTCCAACAGATTCTTAAAGCCACTTTGAGAGGTCATGGTTGAGAGCTTCAGATCTTTTTGTAAGACATCATGTGACAACCCCCCCCCCCCCTCCTTTGTGCAGGCTTATGAGTGGGCGTTGGAGAGTATGCGTCACCTCGCTGGGATCTCCATGGAGGACTGCACACACCCTGACAAATGCCAGGCTGTGATTGACAGCTTGGAGGAGTACCAGCAAACACACCCTCCGATCCCAGATGCTCGTTTCCAGGAGATGAGGGCAGAGGCCGCGGAGCTGCAGGGTGATCGCGGGCTTCATCATTGGACCTTCGCCTGGGCCAAGTGTCAGGAAACAAAGAAGATGTTTGACCGGAAGATGGAGGCGGTGCTTAGAACACGAGACTCTGTCCACAGGCGCCGCTCTGACTCTGTTACCAGCAGAAGCTCCATCTCCTCCAGAAAGTCTTTGTCAGGACTGTGGGGTGTTCAGGAGAGCTCCCCGTGCTCCCTAGAGAGTGACACCTCATCCCCCGTCTTCTCTGCCTCCCCCCCCACACCCCACCGCACCTCGCTCCTTCAACGCCTCTTCCGAAGCTCCTCCTCCTTTGAGGAGGCCTCAGAGCAGAAGGACAACCTCTCCCCCAGTCCCAGCCTCACCCGTCTCAACTCCTCCCACAGCTTCTCTCCCTTCTTTTCCCCCAGCTTCTCCTCCTTCAGCTTCTCCCCATTGTTCTCCCCCAGGTTATCACCTTCCTCGTCCTCCAGCAGGCGGCAGCATCTGAGGAAGACTCAGAGTTTTGACTGTCCCTCCACGCCTGACGTATTACGGTGCGGCTCTGGGCCCCGGACCCTCAGCGAGCCGCCTCGCAGAGGAAACACGGGCGTGTTCATCCGTGGTTTGGAGGTCAGCAGTTCGGAAGCGGCTGATCAGACCTTGTGCCCCAGAATGCCAGCCCACAGCTGGACGGGTCCGGGACCACGCAGCCCTCAGACGCCTGGCACCCCCGCAGTAGACGGCCACCACAGAGAAGGAAGGTGGGTAATGATCATCTGCAGGTGCAGCACTGGGTTCACATTACTTGTCCTGACCTGTGTTGGTCTGTGTGCAGTAGGCTGCGTCACATCGTGGAGGAAATGGTGACAACGGAGCGCGAATATGTCCGCTCGTTACGGTACATCATTCATCACTACTTCCCTGAGATGGACCGGGCCGACCTCCCCCAGGGCCTCCGAGGGAAACGCTCTGTCATCTTCGGAAACCTGGAGAAGCTGCTGGATTTCCACAGCCAGTTCTTCCTGCGGGAGTTGGAGGCTTGCTGGAAACACCCGCTGAGAGTGCCGCACTGCTTCCTGCGACACGTACGACATGCCAGACACACACTGAACATGCAACAAACACAACACATGTAAAAAAAACCAACACATGTCAAACAGAACAACACTTGTCAAACACAACAATGCATGTCAAACACAACAACACGTGTCATTTTTCACCACTTTTTATTGTCTGTCCAAACAGGTCTCACTTGTAAATAAATCTTCGAGGGTCATTGTGATTTATCTGTTTAAATAAAGGTTGAATGGAAAAAAACACGTCAGACACAACAACACGTCAAGCACAACAACACAACTCAAACGCAAAAACACATGTCAAACACAACAACACATGTCAAACATAAAAACACATGTCAGACACAACAACATGTCAAGCACAAAAACACAAGTCAA